TATTTGGGCCAGAGTTCAATGCTGCATTTAGTAAGTATTTAGGGAGGTTGTATTTAGGGATCTCAAAATTTATGAAACTACCTTTTTTGTCTAATAAAAAAATTCCTTATGAAATTTTGATATAAACTATTCCCCATCCTAACCTTTAAAAATAATCGTTATTATTGGTTCTGGTAGGATTCGCCGACAGCCACTTCACCGACAATCTCTAGCCAACTCTAACTATAAAGCAGGCCAACTCTAACTAAATCGGGCCAAAATTTGTCGGCGAAATGGCTGGCTGCGAAATGGTTGTCGACGAAATTGGTTTACTGTATACCGTTATTATTATACAGTATACACGGACAATTAATATCCGCGTACAGTACAGTACATACGTCAAACTAGTTAAAGATTTGATTTTAAAGCAAAGTTATACTAAAGTTTTGCAAGAAATTTTGTTTGGTTAAGTATTACAAGTGTCTGTTTTCATACATTAATAGTGGTTTTCTTTTTTTTTTTCTGTAATTCATGCAACTTTATTTTTTCGTGTTACGAAAAAATTAATATAAACATCCTTAGCGTTAGTTCAATCACAAAATTTATAAACACTAAATATTATAAAACCGGAACATGCATAAAACGGTTAAAACGCTCTTAATTGTCTTCATTTTAGACATATTACTTGTATCATTCCTTTATACCGCATTATATTTCATATTTAAAACTATACACACACCATCTGTTTGGAACTTAACAATCATTCATACAAATGATGTTCATTCTCGATATGATCAGATTAATGAAGCAGCCACGGATTGTTCTCCAGAACAGTTTGAAAAAAAACAATGTTATGGTGGAATTGCTCGACATAAAACAGTGATTGATAAGTTGAGAAGAGAGAATAAGAATTCTTTACTTTTAGATGGTGGTGATCAATTTCAAGGTATCTATTGTAAATTTACGTTTAAATTATTCATCAATTATCGAAATTATCGCAAATTATTATCAACTATGCAGTCCATAAACAATTTATTATCATTAATTTTTTGTAGGAACTTTATTTTTTACTTATTATAACGTAAGCTTAAATTAAATACTTTACCGTAATTATGTAAAAGAAAACTAATTTTAGGTTATGTTTGTGTTCAGGGAACGATTAATTCAGAAGTTATGGTATGTACGAATTATTTATTTGATTTATTATTTGGTTTTTTTTTTTTTTTTTTTTTTTTTTTGTGCGCTCTATTTTCATTCTCAATCTATTCAATTTTTTTATTGCTATAGAATTTACTTGAATACAATATTACGGTAAGTTTTAATGAAAGTCCATTTTGATTTATCTATATTAATTTACGTTTATTGTCAATATAGGCAATAGGAAATCATGAATTTGACAAAGGTCCAAAAACACTTGCCTCTCATCACTCACGACTGAATATGCCAATCGTATGTGCGAACATCAATACGACATTAGACCCTTTGCTTGGTGCTAACATTAAACCATATCACATCTTTAAAGAATATAATCTAGGAGTCATTGGTTATATAACTGAAGTATGTTATATGAGTTATTTAAAAATACTTTTTTAGAATCTTAAAAAGTATTACGATATAATTTTTATTTATTTATTTATATTATTTACTTTTTGATATGTACTCTATTCAAGACAACTGGTGGTATTTCAAATGCGGGTCCAACAATAGAATTTTATGATCCAATACCAATAGTTCAACAATATGTGAGTGAACTTCGTACCATGGGAATCAAGCGTATTCTAACAGTTTCTCAT